AGCTGGCCCTGCAGCCCCCGGCCCCGTCAGTCTGTGGGGATCTCTCTCCCACAGTAAGGACAGCTCAGGGTTTGCAGCCCCTCCACTGGTGTCGCAGGGGGTGGCAGTGGTGGCGGTGGGCTACGACATCGCCCCTAAAGGTAAGTGCTGCCCTGCAGAGTGTGCAGCTGCCTGTGTGGCCCAGTGCCCTCCAACCCTGCCTTCCAACCCTGCCCTCCAACCCTGCTCTCTGCCCTCTGCCCAGGCCACATGGACTCCATGGTGCTGCAGGTGCGCCRCAGCCTCGTCTTCCTGGTGGAGCAGTACCCCAGGATCAGGTGGGCAGCTCCGGGGTGGGGGCTGGTTGGTGAGAGTGGCTGGGGGCACACATGGCCTGCCCTGGCACCTTGGTCCAAGCACTGGGGAGCGCCTGTGGCTGCCATCCCTGTCACTGCACAAGGCAGCAGCTGATCGTCACTTCCTCTGCATGGAGTAAAGTGTCCCCAGGTGTCCCCAGGTGTCCCCAGGTGTCCCTCTCAGTCGCTCCCTCCTTCCAGAGGCATCTACTTGTGCGGACACTCGGCAGGGGCCCACCTGGCAGCCATGGTGCTGTCCACAGACTGGACGGAATTCCGAGTGGTGCCAGATATCAAAGGTAGTGTTGAAATGTCCCAGAACGGGGTCCAGAGGACAACTGCTCTGTGCACCGGGGACAAGGCTGTGGAGCTGTGGAGCCCCAGCCAATGATGATGATGTCCCCGGGCCTGTGGGAGCCCTGCAGGCTGCAGCTCCTCACCTGCCAGTGCCTCTGCCTCCAGGAGCAGTGCTGGTGAGCGGYGTCTATGACCTGGAGCCCATCCTGCCCACCTATGTGAACGATGCTCTGAACATGAGCAGGTGAGCCCCCATGGTACAGGGAACAGCCACGGGGACAGAGCACAGGCAGGCGAATGGCAGTGGCTCTGCAGCCCCTCTGCCCCTGTGCCTGCCCTGCTGAGTGTGGCTGAGGGCACGGGTGCTCCTGGAGCGAAGAGCTGCAGCAGCTGCCACTGGGGTGATTCCTGCAGGGAGGTGGCCCAGAGGAACAGCCCCATCCGACATGTCACCCCGGCAGGGCCAGCAGCCTGCGAGGTGCTCGTGGCTGTGGCCCAGCATGATTCCCCGGAGTTTCGCAGGCAGTCACTGGAGTACAGCCAGGTGAGCACTGGGCAGTCACTGGGGTACAGGAGTACAGCCAGGTGAGCACTGGGCAGTCACTGGAGTACAGGGGTACAGCCAGGTGAGCACTGGGCAGTCACTGGAGTACAGCCAGGTGAGTACAGCCAAGTGAGCACCAGGCACTCACAGGAATACAGCCAGGTGAGCACCAGGCAGTCACTGGAGTACAGGAGTACAGCCAGGTGAGCACTGGGCAGTCACTGGGGTACAGCCAGGTGAGCACTGGGCAGTCACTGGGGTACAGCCAGGTGAGCACTGGGCAGTCACTGGGGTACAGGGGTACAGCCAGGTGAGCACTGGGCAGTCACGGGGTACAGCCAGGTGAGCACTGGGCAGTCACTGGGGTACAGGAGTACAGCCAGGTGAGCACCAGCAGTCACTGGAGTACAGGAGTACAGCCAGGTGAGCACCAGGCAGTCACAGCACCATGGACAGGTGAGCTCCAGCAGAACCCTGCCTGGCTCTGATGGGGACACTGCTCCAGCCAGCCCTCACCAAGCTGCCCAAGCAGGATGAAGAGCTTCTGTGCCAGACCAGAGCAGTTTCTGGCTCGCTGGAGGACACCAGTCCTTGCCAAGATATTATTCATGCTGCTCCATCCAGGGCAGGTGCAGTTTGGGGCCCATCCCAGCACCRCTCTCTCCACAGGCCCTGCGTGCAGCTGGCTGGTCTGTGTCTCTGCTGGATCTGGCTGGTGTGGATCACTTTGATGTCATTGAGAAGCTGTCAGAACACAGCTATGTCCTCACTCAGGTAGCTAGGAGGGCTTTGCCAAGGTGGATCAAGCGGGCWTTGGGCTGGCTGCCACCTCCCTGCAGGGAGGTTCAGGGTCAGGGGCTGCYCACAGGGCTTGGTTCCTCATCCCAGGTGATTCTGAACATGATTTTGAGAGCATGATGGCATATCAGGAGCAAACAGATGGGGACCATGGCACTGCGTGGTGGCAACAGCCATCTGGCATCCCGTGCCTGCTGCCTCCTCACTCCACACTGTCTCAGACCTGCCCTGTGCCTGCCCCAGGCCAGCCTAGGCTGGTGCCCCTTCCCTGGGGTGTTCTGCCTGCTGGAGCACAGGGGACTGAGGGCTGCAAGACTCTGTCTGAGCAACTGGATCACAAAGTTTGTTCCCTCAGTATCCTTTAAACTGCACACTGGCAATACAAAATAAAATGGGAGCAGCAAGACAATGACAGCCTGCCCGGTCTTGGCCACCTCCTCCTCACTGACAGCACACAGGTGATCACAGAGCTTGGCCAGGCCCCCTGGACATTTACCACCACAATTTTGGTTTCCACTGCTGCCAGGATGAAGGACCAGAGGGGAGAGTGTAGCCCATGGATACCTGCAGGAGGCCAAAGCAGCTACCTGGAAGGGGCTGCCTGCCCCAGCCCTGGCCCCGGTTCTGGCTGAGGGAAGCCCTTCCTCCCCCCATGTAGTACCAGGGTCACTGAAGGCAGCGTGGGGACAGTCACGGCACGATCCCGGCACTGCAGCCATGTGAGGATCCCAGCAGCATCCTCACCTGGCTGGAGATGCAGCGTGGCCATCCAGGGAGGGTGCCCAAGCCACCATCACCACGGTATTGCTGGGCAGTGCCGGGTGTGCTGTTCCATCCCAGCACACCATGGATGGTCCGTTCCCGCTGGTCCCCATGGAAGCTGCCATTCGGCAGATCTGGCAACACCTGGCACTGGACACCAGCGACTCGGGGCAGGGGAGAGCACGGAGTTGACGGGACAGTGGTGGTGCCCGGGGTTTGCATTCCTGTGCCCCTCTGTCCCTGCACCGGCTGTGTGCACAGTCCCACTCATGCTGCCGATCCTCCGCCCGGGCCGGCCCTGGCAGCCAGAGGAGGGCAGCAAGTGGCCACCTCCCGCCCTGCCACCAGTGCCACCAGTGCCACCAGTGCCACCAGTGCCACCAGTGCCACGGGACTGCCTGCGGCACTCATCTGTGCGCCCCGAGTGGGTGTCCTGGCCCAGGAACGGCTGAGCTCCCCTGCGCTGGCAGCAGCACATCCCTGGGAGAGAAGGGCGGTGAGGGAGGAGGACCGGGGGCAGCAGTCCAGGGCTTGGGGGCACGGGGGGCTGCGGGAGCAGCTCCGGACTCACTGGCGATGAGGGTGGCCGTGGTGGCCGTGGGCACGAACAGAGCCGACTCCGTCCCCAGAGTCCCTACAGCCCGTCTGCAGCTCCGCGGGGACACACGAGGTCCCGGGGGAATGGCACTGAGCGCGCCCAGGGCTTTGGGAACCCCGCCGGTCCCGCTGAGCCAGCTCAGCCCCGCTCCTGGCTGCCCCTCCGCTGCCCTGGGCCGGGGGCTGCAGGCAGGAACGCACTGGAGTCCCGTCCTCTCCGCCCACCGTTCACTGCCGGCTCCCCCCGCAGTCGCTGTTGCCCCCGGCAGCACGGGCATGGCACACGGCCGGCTACCGCAGCACCGGGACCACCGGGACCGCCGGACCGGCCCCGAAGGGCTCCCGGGCATGACGGGATTGCCCGGCCCTTTCCCGGGTACCGGGCCCGGCCGCACGGCTCCGGGGCGGACACGGGGCACCGGCACCGCCCGCGCTCCGGGGCTGCCTCGGCGGCGCAGCCCCTACAGCCACACCGTCCCTACAGCCACGCAGCCCCTACAGCCACGCCGTCCCTACAGCCACGCCGTCCCTACAGCCACACCATCCCTACAGCCACACCATCCCTACAGCCACACCGTCCCTACAGCCACGCCGTCCCTACAGCCATGCCGTCCCTACAGCCATGCAGCCCCTACAGCCACACCATCCCTACAGCCACACCGTCCCTACAGCCATGCAGCCCCTACAGCCACGCTGGCCCTACAGCCATGCAGCCCCTACAGCCACGCCGTCCCTACAGCCACACCGTCCCTACAGCCACACCGCCCCTACAGCCACACCGTCCCTACAGCCACGCCGTCCCTACAGCCACACCGTCCCTACAGCCACACCGTCCCTACAGCCACACCGCCCCTACAATCCCTCCGTTCCTCCATCCCTCGCCCCGCTGCCGCTGCGGAACGCACTGTTCCCACTGTTCTGCGGCCCCTCGTTTTGCCAGGATCCCCGTGCTGGGTGCCCTGCGGAAGGGAGCTCCACTGGGATCCGCTGCTCTTTCCGTGTTTGAGCAGGAATGGCTCCAGCAAGGCTGGCACGGGGTCGTTTGGCTGCTGGGAACTGGCTCTGGCTCTGGCGACATCTGCCCTGGCAGCGGCCGATGTGCCGTCCGATGGCACTGCAGCGGTGCTCTGGGATCTGCGGGCAGCTCCACAGATCTCAGCACTGCCTCCCTGCTCTGAGGGCACCCACCAGCCTCTTGGCAGAAATCCCCTCTGCCTCGGAGCATTTGCCCAGCRCAGWAGCGAGACCCTCCACCYCCCACYGTCGGGCTGGACCAGCTGGACCATRCTCCCTTCCTGCTGYTAACAGTCAGGGGGGCACAGCTCTGCAGCMCCTGGCACCTCTCCTGGCATTTGCAGGGCATCAATAGGGCAGGTGCATTAAGGTGCCCCKTCCCCTCAGGGGCACACGCTGGCCTGTCCCTGCCCACTTGTGCATGTGCTGTGCTTTAACCACCTGTGCTATGGCCACTGCCATCCTGCCACCCTCTCCCTCCCTCTGCCAGTGCCCCCCAGCCTTGATCCCCCCAGTCCCTTATCCGGAGCCTCCTGTGTCCACCCCACTGGTGTCCACTCTGCCCGTGCCCCTGCTGTGCCCCTCCCTCACTGCCCCCTGTTGCCCCCTACGCTGTCAGCCCCGCAGATGAGTGAGCCATAAACAGTCCTTTATGAAACATTTTTCACACGCAGGGCCACATGTTAATAGTTTTTCTTTATTTACTGCCTCCATTTCCTCTTTGTTCCAGGAACTTGTCCTCCAACTTCAAGCTGCTCATGATTAGGCAAAACGGCCTCTAATCTCCCCGATCTGATTTACCGTCACTGAGAGCAGACGCTTCCCGTTACTGGCCCTGGACCTGGGAGCATGGACAGCTGATCTGTGCCGGCTGCTGAGCCCAGCCGAGCCTCCCCAAAGCTGCCCTGCTGCACATACCGCCTTCCCTTCCCGGCAGCTTCCTCTTCCAGTAAGCGCTGGGCAGCGTAGCCACTCGTGCTGCAGGTGAAGGGCTGGGGAAAGAGCAGCTGTGGGGCCCCAGGCCAGGGATTCTCCCCACCCTGCGCCTGGGGCGGCTGCTGCAGGGCAGGACAGGCTTTGGAGCTTTCTTTGCTTGGAAGGGCTGGATGGCCGCAGCATCCTCAGCACGGCTTTCCCAGCCGCTCACCATCCCCTGCCGTGGCACCTGATGGGTGTTTGATGGGGTGTTTGATGGGGTGTTTGATGGGCCTGCTGTCCCCAAAGCTGAAGGGCAGCTCAGGGCTCTGCTCTGCACCGTCCCCCCAGCCCAGCCAGGGTCCACAGCCAAGCAGGAGCTCCTTCACTGGGCAGCAGCCGCAACTTTTGCAGGACTGCATTGTGGCTGGGTGTCTTCTGCAGATCCCCTTGTCCTTCAGCCCCACGCCTTTCCCTGGGACTTTGGGCTGGGATCTCCTCGGGGTCTCTCCTTGCTACCAGCACCCACAGAATTCCCCTGTCTGCATGGAGCRTAGTGGAATTAGCACCAGGCCCATGGAAGTGCTTGTGGCTACACGTGGAGTGGCTGAACTGAGGCCACGGGAGTTGGGCACAGGGTGGGCACTGCCAGCTTGGCCAGGGGCTTGGGTGGCAGCTGGGGACAATGTGGGCTCACCCAGGACCGCACTGCACCGCAGCTCTGCGGTCACCACTGCCCACACTGGCTCCTGTGGTGGGTTAGACCACTGCCCTGCTGGGCTCAGCTCCTGCTCCAGTCGTGCCTCCCCAGGGCTAAAATTAGCAGCTGAGGCCTGGCTGGAGAGCCGGGAGTGGAGCCCAGATCCCACCGCGGAGGATCGAGTTTCCCCTGTCCCTGCCACAGGCCTGGCAGCCGCCGGGGCCGATTCCCGGAGCTGGGCCCCCCTGCTCCAGCCCCAGCGGCAGCCCCATCCCGCCCTGCCAGCCCAGCGCTGGATCTGCACATCCCAGGCTGAGCCTGGCACATCCCGGCTGCAGGAGCACATCCCAGGCTGAGCCTGGCACATCCCAGGCTGAGCCTGGCACATCCCGGCTGCAGGAGCACATTCCCGGGCTGAGCCTGGCACATCCCGGCTGCAGGAGCACATCCCAGGCTGAGCCTGGCACATCCCGGCTGCAGGAGCACATCCCAGGCTGAGCCTGGCACATCCCGGCTGCAGGAGGCTCAGCAGGGGTTGTGACATGGGGAAACAGTGCTGGAGCTGCCCAGGCATCCCGGGGCACACATGGCAGCCCTGGACAGGCTGGGAATGGGCTCTGCTCCCAGCACAGCCTGTGGCTGCAGCCATGGAGCTGTCAGTGCCCTCCGGCTCTTGTGCTGGGTGCCAAGCGCTGACCCAGGGCCTGGCAGTGACCATAACACGCTTACCATGAGCTCGGGGTGTTTTCCTGTCGGGCTGCCTTAGCCCTGCGGCCACAATGTCCACGCTGCTCACCCTGTGTGCCCYTTGGGCTGCCATGGCCCGTCCCAAWGGGACTGCACTGCTGTTCTGGAGGGGCTCGGTCCCCCCCGGCCGCGGGCAGCCCCATCCGTCACCTCCGGGCTTGAGGCACGGAGCTGAGCCATTTCTTGCTGCCGGGAACGGCGGGGCAATACCCGGGAGCGCCGGGTCCGGGCCGGGCCGGGCCGGGTCATGGCTCACCCGCCGCACTCCCGGTGTGCCGGTGCCAGGGACCCGGTACCGGCCGAGCTGCGGCCCGGGACAGTGCCCCGACGCACCGAGTCCCGACGGACCGAGTCCCGACGGACAGAGTCCCGACGGACAGTCCCGGGCTGCCGGGCCGCGCTCGGTGCGAAAGCCGCGGGCTGTCCGGGAATGTCCGGCGGAGAGCCGCTGTCCGGTGCCGAGGCCGGAGCGGGGTGGCCCCGTGGTCCCGGCCGGTGCCCCGTCCCGTCCCCAGCCCGTGAGGCCGCGGGTGCCCCCCACCCCCCCGCCGGCAGCGACTTTTCCAGTAAAACCGCCGCAGAGATCCCGGCTTCCCGACAGGCCCGGCCTCCGCGCCGGGGGGGCGCCGGCCGCCCTT